GAAAAGGCATATGTCAGCTTGCTCAGCCCTTCTACACAGCCTCTCCTTTGGTGAGTAAGCAAAGGCATAGATGGAAATACAACACAGTACCCAACTGATGTTTAACTTATGCTAGCCAGGAAGGATGCTCATTAGATGAAGAATGAGAAACCCTGGACCTGGGCCTCAAGCTCCTCACCACACACAGCACAGGGCTCCCACATGGAGCTCAGTGTGGGATGAAGCTCAAACATCCAGGCCTTTGCTCTTTGGTGTCCTGCCCCTGATGGGCCCCTCCGACCACTTTTCACCACAACAGCTCATTGCTTGTAGACTAGGGGAAAGAGGCTTCAAGGCAGGCCCCAACCAGGAGGACTTCTCATCATTTAGCCCTTGACCCCTTTGGTTCAAATTTCTACAGGCCAAGAAGTGTAGCAGTTTAGTTGACAGAGTGCTAGTCTTACAGCTAGTTAAGAGAATGCTAAAGTCGACTTGGTGCTAGTTGGGAGAATGCTAAAGACCTGAGTTCAAATCCTGCCTCAGATACCCGTTAGCTGTGAGCCTCTAGGCAAGTCATTTCACTTCTCTCATCCTCAGTTTCCTGAGGATAATTATAGCACCTACTTCACAGGGTTCCTACAAGGATCAAATGAGGTAACATATATAAAGTGCTTTACAAACCTTAAAGCACTATTAACCACTAGCTATTGTTATTTTTCATCACATCCCCTCTCTCCTATTAGGTCCTACATCTCTTTCTCAGCACCTTTACTTTGCCCTATCTCATCACCTCTGTTTGCACACCTCTCCCTGACTCACCACCTGCAGCCGAAGCTCTGCCATGCCCACATTGTGGAGGACAAAGGGCTAAAAGAGAAGAGGCATCCTACATGTATAGAAGACAGAAGCAAAGATGAGTAACTAAGGATGAATATCAAAGAGCAATAGAGGGGCAGCTAGGTGGCTCAGTGGATAGAACTCTGGCCTTGGAGTAAGGAGGACCTGAGTTCAAATCTGCCCTCAGACACTTGACACTTACTAGCTGTGTGACCCTGGGCAAGTCATTTAACCTTGATTGCTCACCAAAAAAGCAAAAAAAAAAAAAAAAAGCAATATAGTCCTGTTAGGATTGTAAAAACCCATGACAAACAGAGAATAAATTTTAACCGTAGCTTCTATGAAAAAAAGTCAGTAGACCACAAACTCAACATGAGTCAACAGTGTGCTATGGTGAACAAAAAAGTACTTTGTCTGCTTTCACAGGCAGAGGGTCCAGGATTAGGAACCCCATAATGCTGTCTTCTCTGCCTTAGGCCCTGAAGTGGGACACACTTGGGAAAGATGTCCAGAAGTACCCAAAGTGGGTGATACCATACCCTGGGGGCACTGGAACTATGGGGGGGGGGTGTCAGCAGTAGCCTCAGGTGCAATTGGGGGGGGTGTTAAAATAAAAATAAGAGGGCGGTGGAAGCATAAGGAAAGAAAACAAGAAAATTATAAAAAACCATTTGTATGTGTTTCATCTATTGTGTAACAGAGTTACAGTCGTAGTGATTACATTATTTTCCAAATAACACACAAAATGCAAGTTATAACCCATCTGTGGTCAAGTCTGTCAACAGGTCTTAACAAGCAAGTGTCAGCAGATGAGTGTGTTATGTATTGTCAGGAAATCCAGCATGCACTGGTATGAATATGTGTGTGTAATTACTTGTTTACAATATGATACTTTACAGTTACATGATGCAATATTGCATCATCAAAATTTCGATGCAGGGGAAAAACATAAATTTACAATAAATTGTTAAATTTAAGGTGCATCATTTTTAAAAAAAATATATATATATATTTTTAAATGATGCAAGTTTAAAAAACTGTTAAAGGATTAAAAAAAAAAGTAGATTTCTAAAGGGGTGCTGAGTAATTTTTTTTGAAAAGGGGGCAGTAGGCCAAATAAGTTTGGAAACCTCTGATGTAGACAAAGTAGAGTGTGTCCAGAAGAAAGTGGCTAGGATAGCAGGACTGGAGAACATGCCAGATAAAGATGTGGCCAGTGGATAGAGCATTGGGTCTGGAGTTAGAAAAACCTGAGCTCAAATTCAGCCTCAGACAGTTACTAGCTGGGTGACCCTGGGCAAGTCATTTAACCTGTCAGCCTCAGTTTCCTCATCTGTAAGGGGATAATAATAGCATCTTCCTCCTAGGGGTTTTGTGAGAAGCAAATGAGATAACATGTATAAAACTCTGAAAATCTTCAAGAGCTATAGAAATGAAAGATGTTAATATCTATTGGAGGAATTAGGTATGTTTAGCACAAAACAGTGGAGACTTAAGGGGAGGGCATCAATATCTGAAGGACTGACAGGTGATTGCTGGACTTGCTCTGCTTGGCTCCAGAGGACAGAACCAGGAACAACGGGTGAAAACTGGACAGAGGCAGGTTGTTTATTGTTGCTGTTAGTAACAATAATGACTTATGTTTATATGGTATTTTAGAGTTTCTTACAATTTCCCTCACATCAACCCCATGAGGTAGGTTAAAAGTATTATTACAAGTTATTATAAGTATTCCTTATCCCCATTTGACAGATGAAAAAATTGAGGCTCTGAGAGATTAAATGACTTGCTCATGACCAGTTAACATAGGTTTGATGTGGGCTTCAGACCCAGGTCTCCCTTTCCAATGCTGTATCCACTACACGGTTGTCATTTGTGTTCAAAGTAAGGGGAAAAAACTTCCTAACAATTAGATCCAAACAGTGAAATGGTCTGCCTCCAAAGGTAGTACATTATTCCTTATTTAGGGTCTTCAAACAGAGGCTAGACTTGGGCATGTTAGGAAAGGGATGCTTGGTCAGGTCCAAGTTGGGCTAGCTAACCTTTGAGGTCCCTTCCAGCTCTTACAGAGGAAATTCTGTGAATTCACTTTCATTTCCTTTAAGTATTTCAGTAATCTTGTGTATTTTTTTTAGTAAATGCACTCAAAATTGTATTGATTTCAGTTTAAAGGTGGGTTCTATTATCAAGGGACCCCTACTTTCAGACCAATACAGTAATCTTATTTATCTTTGCCCACCACTCCCAATTAAATCCAACAAACTTTTGTTAGCTGCCTGCTTGTGTTGGTAATATGAAGACACAAGTAAAACAGTCCCTGTCCTCAAGAAGCTTACATTCTCCTGGGAGGGATATGATATGTACCCAGATAAGTAAATACAATATGAGACAGAGACAGAGAAAGGGAAGGAGGAAGGGAAAAAGGGACAGAGAGAGGGAAGGAGGAAGGAGGAAAAGGGGGAGGGAGAGAAAAGGGGAGGGAGACAGAGAAAGAGATGGAGAGACAGAGAAAGAAAGAAAGAAAGAAAGAAAGAAAGAAAGAAAGAAAGAAAGAAAGAAAGAAAGAAAGAAAGAAAGAAAGAAAGAAAGAAAGAAAGAAAGAAAGAAAGAAAGAAAGAAAGAAAGAAAGAAAGAAAGAAAGAACATGGACTGGAGAAATGAGGGAAGGCCTCCCAGTGGAGACAGCTAAGCTGAACCATAAAGGAAAAGGAATCAGAAGGCAACATTTAGCAGGAAATGCATCCTAAGCATTGGTGATGGCTCATAGGAATGCATACAGGTGAGAGATGGCATGGGAAGTCTGGGGAACAGCATCTAGTCCAATTTGGCTGGAATGTAAAGTGCACCATGGGGAACAGTGTGAAATAAGACTGGAAATGATGCTTAATAATGACAATCCCTCCCATGAATTGAATGGAATGCAATAGGGGCACTAAGTGCTTTTCTCACATCTCAAGGAGGGAAGCCCACTAGGTGTTAGTATCCTCATTTTTTAGAGGAAGAAAGTGGGGCCCAGAGAGAAGTGACTTTCCTAAGGTTACATATGGAATCAAAGCAGGAGCTGGGACTCAAAACCAGGCCACCTGACTGCCACCAGGGCACAGGCTTTGCCTTCCTGATTGAGATAAAGATCACAGCTGCTATGTCACTTGCCCTCTGCACACATGCTGACCAAGGGCAGAAGAAAGTCAACTCTGAATTAAAAATCCGCTGTGTTTGGAACATGGGGAGGGAGGGAAGTCATTAGTGCAAGCTGGCAGTCTTGGAGCCAAAAAGAGAAGCCCAGCTGTTAGCAGCATCCATAGTCAGTTGCAAAGACCTACCCACCCACATCAGATTCCAGTGGATATCCAAGTCAAATCATCCCTCCCCAGGCTCATCTAAAATACCCCTCATCATCTCAAATCCAATGCAATACAACGAGCATTTATTAGGAGCTTACTATGTGCAAGGCACTGTGTTAGGTACTGGGGATACAAGGGCAAAATGGAAAATGGTCCCTGCCCTCAAGAAGCTTACATTCTACTGGAGGGTTTTACATGCACAGATAATTATATGCATGAAAATTGAGGATAAAACACTAACAGCTGGGGGCATCAGGAAAGGGATACTTCCATGGTGAAAACTCCTGCTTTACCCTTCCTTGGACTCTAAGTCAGAAGTTCTTCCTTGGCTTGTTTTGAAAGATCAACCCAACTAGAGATCTTGCTTCTAAATCCCATTCTGTTTGAATGGAAAAGAACAGCTCCATGCAGCCACCATGACTCCACTAATGGTAAACACACAGAGGCAGTAACCACAAAGAGAAGGCTCTTCCCTTCTCCCCTCTCCCAGTGGCCTTGTTCACTGCCACAAGATGGGAGTTCCATCATGTATTAATGTTAGGAGGACATTTTTATAGCCTCTAGTTTTGGGACCACAGCTGGGCCCCATAAAGTTCTCTAGTGCCCCCTTTCTGCATGCCATCTTCTACTTGGGGGGGGTGATGTCAAACACTACAAGAGGGTCTGGCTCTGAGGAGCTAAAAGCAGGAGAAGCATTCTAGTGACCCCAGCCTGAGGGTGCCCCACATAAGCTGAGGCCCTAATCAGTCTCCAGCTCTCTTTTTTGTTGTGGGTGAGACCCACAGACCCAGATAAGAGACCCTGGTGGGAGCATGCAGATAAAGCAGGCACAAGCTGAGATGGGTTGGACCTGCACTTTTATTTGGGGCAAGAGGACAAGACAAGCAGGATGAGGCTTAGGTCCGGGAAGGGAAAGAGCTTCTCCTCCCCAGGCTGACCCCTGGGCAGTGGGGACAAGGGACTGGTGCATGCAAGTCTCTTGCTTCCCAGTCACAGGATCACACATTTGGAACTGGAAGGGACCTTAGAGGTCATCTAGTGCAAACCCCTCATTTTATGGATGAAGAAACTGAGAGGTTACCCAGAGAAGTTATGTGACTTGCCCAAGGTCACACAGGTAGTAAGTGGCAGAGCTGCGTCCTTTGCTCCAAATCCATGCTCCTGTGGCCTTGCCGACGTCCTGTCCCCATAGGAAGTTCAGGGGGAAAGGAGAAAAGGAGAGGGAAGCAGCTCTTGGGTCCTAAGGACCCAGGTGTTCCACTTCCCGATTGTAAACGTCCCGAGGCCGCCTGCGGAGTCGGGCGGAGTGAATGCTACCTGGAGGCTGGGGTATCAGTCCTCACAGGGATGACTGGGAAGCTAGGAAGAGGTCAGTAACTCTGGCAAAAAGTGGAGGGAGGAGCCAGTCACTATGGCTACAGCAGAAGTATTCCTTCAGGGGGGTGGGGCAAAGGTCAGTCACCATAGTAACAGCTCTAAGTACCATCAGCCCTGATCACCATAACTACTGCTAGAGGACCCCTTCCTCTCCCTGGGACAGGGCTCTCGGGAATGTCTAGGATGCTTCCACAAAGGGGCGGGGCAGATTGGTCTTCTGGTCGAAGTCTTGAGGCATCACTACCCCCACCCCCAGGGGAAGAGGGGCGGAGGCCGAAGTTCCTTCCCTGGGGGCGGGACAGATGCTGGTCCCCACGGCAACACCTAAAAAAATGCCCTTGTTGGGGAGATTGGAGTGGATGTGGATCTCCATGGTGACACTCAGAAATCCCTCCGGCCGGGGTGGAGGGGGGGGGCAATGAGATGCTGGTCCCCATGGCAACATCTTAGAAAACCCCTTCTCTCAAGAGGAAGAAACGGCTGCTGGTCCCCATAGCGACACTTAGAAGTACCTCCCCAGGGGTGTGGCAAATGCCAAACCCCTTGGTAACCGCTGGGGGAGCCCCTCCCTCGAGCGGCCCCCAGCTAGACGTGCAGGGGCCGCCAGGCGCTTGGGTCCCTCCAGCCCCAGCCCCAGCGCGCTGCTCCTGGGTCCGGGGAGCCTGGCGCGCGGTAGCAGTAGACGCCGAAGAGGCGGTGCTTCTTGTCGGGGAAACCGAGGTTGCGCACGCCCGGCCTCTGGCCTCCGCAGCGAGCCCGCGGGTTGACGATGGGGTAGCGCACGCTGCCGTCGCCCAGCCAGCCGGCCTCGCAGCGATCCAACAGCTGCAGCTTCCACGCGGCATACAGCTGGCCCACCTTGGCCACCGCGGCGCCGCTGCCCGCACACGCCCGCACCGCCTCCGGAAAGCTCACCTTGCGGTAGGGCTTCAGGAAGAATACCTGACCTGCGGACACAGACGCGGCGGGCCTGGGCTCAGAGAACAACCCTGGGCCAGACCCAACCTTCAAGCCTCCTTCCCCAGTCCCGCCCCTACCCTGCACCGAGTCCTGAGGCATTTTGGGGAGCCCTGGGACACCTTGAAACACATGAGATTCTCTGCCTAATGACCCCACCTTCCCCTCCCCAAAAAAGACTCATATCTTCAGGGTAGATTTCCTTTACTTCTCTCCTTCCTCAACACCCTCCTTAGCTCCTCCCCCCCAACCCCAAGAGCTCCTTTACTCCTCATCCCCTCAAGCTTCCCAGTGTAGACACATTCCATGCCTCACAATAGGATACATCTACACACCAATAATCACATTCACATACGCCACCTCCCACCCTCAAGTAAACAACCTTAACATAACACAATACACAAAGAGCTCAGATACACTGAGTCAAAAGCACAAATATACACAGCCACATACTGTGTCACATTCACAGAGCCACATCTGGACACTGTCACCCACAGTTAAAAGCACAGCCTCATGCACACTCTGATGAACTATCTATCAACAACATTTATTCATTCAACTGTCACTGAAACTTGTTTAATATTGGGCCCTTGAGATCTTCTTGTGCTATTGGGAAAACATCTATAACCCAGGCTCACCCCACCTTCCAAAGCCCACAGTCTAGTTAGGGGGATCAGGCACAGACCCACAGAGCTACAACATAAACTACACCATGATGAGAGAGAAAAAGGATGCTGAGGGGGCTCAAGGGAGGAAGGGAAGAGAGGACAAATAGCAGAGGCTTCTTAGAGGAGGAGGAGGTGGCTTCTGAGCTGGTCCTTGAAGAAAAGACTGACTGAGACAAAATCATAGGGGACCTCCAATGCCAGGCTGTTTTGGACTTTGTCCCATGGGCCACCGAGTCATTGATGGCGGGCGTATAAGCATGGGAGGGGTTAGAGATAGACCACTGATTTGGAGTCAGCTATTCCTTTGGTTCAAATGGGCAAATTGATTTACTCTCCTGGGCCTCACTTTGCTCATCTGTAAAATGAAGGAGCTGGACCAGATGATGCCTCAGTTTCCTTCCAGCTGTAAGTTATAGGAGCATAGATTTAGGGCTAAAAGGGACCACCATCAAGTCTGTTGCTGTTGTTTGGTCATGTCTGACTCTTAGTGACTCCATTTGGTGTTTTCTTGGCAAAGATACTGGGGTGATTTGCCATTTCCTTCTCCAGCACATTTTATAAATGAGGAAACTGAAGCAAACAAGGTGAAGTGACTTGCTCAGGGTCACACAGCTAGTAAGTGTCTGAGTCTGGATTTGAACTCAAGATCAGCCTTCCTGACTCCAGGCCTGGCAACCTATCTCCTACAGCACCACCTAGCTGCCATCAAGTCAAACTCCCTCAAAAACCTTGTCCAGAAGAGAGTAGCCAGAAGATGAAAGAAAGGTCTGGAGATCACGCTGTACTAGAAGGAAGTCTGGCAGTTCAGCCTGAGTAAGAAAAGACTTAGGGGAAGGTGGTAGCTTTCTTCAAATATAGGAAGGGCTGCCTCATGCAAGAGCAGTTAGATTTGTTCTCCTCAAAGGCTGATGCTGGGAGCAATGGCTAAGAGTTGCAAAGATGGGGCAGGTAGGTGGCGCAGTAGATAGAGCACCAGCCCTTCAGTCAAGAGGACCTGAGTTCAAATCCTGTCTCAGACACATAATACTCACTAGCTGTGTGACTCTGGGCAAGTCACTTAACTCCAATTGCCTCACCCCCCCAAAAAAAAAGAGTTGCAAAAAGATATATTTGAGATTATTAGAGGATAAACTTCTGAACAGTGAGATCAATCCAAAAGTGGGCCTGACTTCCCCAGGAGATGGTAGATATCTCATCCCTGAAGGTCCCCCCAGAGGATGCTGGATGCCCAGTTGTCTAGTATGTTGGAGAAAAGAGATTCTTGCTGAAGTACAAGTTGGATTCGAAGGCCAAATCTGAGCTTCTGTGACTCTGGAGAGGGTCAAGGCCAAAATGAACCTGAGGTTTCAGGTCTAGATCTGGTATGTGTTTGGTGATGGGTTGTAAGGGTAGGAAAGGATAGTGGCACCACTGACCACTGAAGAACAGGTTTTCAAGAAGATGGTGTTGGGTTTGGGGGAGGATGAATTTGAGGTTATCCAGTATCAAATCATCCCATGAAGTTGCACAGAGATTCACACAATAATACACACAGTTGGCATCTTTGCATACACACTGTCAAAAACAATCTCAATCTCTCTCTCTCACATGCACACACACACACACACGCATACACACCAGCAGTCACACAAACCACATAGAGTTGCAGACAGAACATTTCCCTGTGTTTCCAAAAGCAAGGTGTCTTTCACTTGCCCAAGGGCTATATATAGCTTTAGAAGTTTCAGTTCACTCTGGTCACCTAGGAAGTCTCCCTCTAAGCACCCCTAATACCCATGCAGAGGAATGCCCAAAGACATCTATTAGTTCTGGGAGACTGGGGATGAATGAGCTCCCATGACCACCTGCAGCAAAAGTGAAGCCTCTGGTAGACTTGCAAAAGAGAAAGACTCATGGGCACCTCTTTGAAGTCTGAGTGAAAGGGTGTCTTATCTGCAGGGAGCCAGGCCCTGCTGAAGATGTGGCTAGTGCAGACACAGTCTCTAACTAAGTCCTGTGGAGGACAAAGGAGGAAGAAAAGGGGTCTTTTAAAATTGGGGTGAGGGGAGGGCAACCAGAATTGCAGGGCAGTGGAGCTGACTGAAACTGGAAGATCAAAAGCTTGGGTTTTCACCAGGGGGCCTGGGAAAGAATGTGGAGGATTGAGGTGGGGAGGGATGTTGGAACTGAAGATCAGGAAGGGTTGATGGGGTAGTATTGAAGGTGGAAGGGTGGACTGGACCATGGAGTGGCTGCTGGGAGAATAGGCAGAGGATAGGGTGGGGGCGAGGGCGGTAGAACTAAGAGACTAAGAGGCCACTTGGCAGCCTGAGTGGGTCTAGAGGAGGGTAAAGGGCTGGCTAGGTAAAGATGGGGTTGGAGGGCGGGCAGTATGTGGCGGGGGCCAAGCTGGTGACTGCGACTAATGGAGGCAGAAATGAAGTTGGGGCAGAGCAAAGGGGAAGGGGAGGCTGAGGAGGGGCCAGCAACCCAGGTTGGGCGCGCGCTCACCCTGCAGATTGGACGTGAAACAGAAGGCGTCGTAGCGCTCGTCTTCCTTGTGGCGGTAGCCGTAGTTTCGCACGCCCACGGGAGCCTCGCGGCGGCCGCATTCTTCACGCGGCTGGCCCACAGGGTACTGCACCGAGCCGTCCTGCAGCCAGCCCGCGTTGCACCAGTCCAGACCCTCGCGCCACGCAGCGTGCAGCTGCTCGTAGGACGCCAGGATGCCGTCCTGCTCGGCGCACGCCCGCTGTGCCTCAGGATAAGTCAGCGTGTAGCGGCCCAGGCGAGGATGGTAGGGAAAGATCACACCTGATTTGGGAGGGGAGTGGAAAACCCTGGCTTAAGAAGGCCTGGGCTCAGAGACACCTCCGTCCAACCCTTTGGCCCACCCATCATCCCTTCTACACAGGCCACCATAATCACCTCCCCAAAGCCTACAATGGGACATCCTACCCCATTCTCAGCTTTAGGGCCCCAAAGCCCAACTCCTGTCTGCCCCTCCTTGGCTCAGGCACCAACCAAGACTTTCCTTATCCCCAGGAGATGGCCACACTCTTCAACCTGAAAGCTGAAGCTCCCTATTATCAAACCCCAATCTACCTTGACTGTCATATCTTCCCCTCACCCCTTTTCACCCATCATCCATGGCTAACCAAACTGAAAAACTCACTTCTTTGCCTTTGTTCATGCAGTTCCCCATACCTGGAATGCCCTCTGCCATCTAAATTTGCTGTGGGATTCTAAGGTTATTTCCTCTTTCTTAGTTCCAGTTTCCTCATCTATAAAATGAGTTGAATTTGACTATTTCTACAGTGCTTCCAACTCCAACATTGTGTTCTGCCTTCTAAAATCCCTCCAAGCTCTGAGATTCTATGTTTCAAGGGATTCTTCCAGCTCTAATGCTCTGTAGTTCTTTGAAATCCTGCTGGTCTTACTAGTTGAGGTCCAACCTTGTCTGATCCAAAGCAGAAGTGATTTTTCCCTCCTCTGAACCTCTCCCCCTTCCCCATTTTCTACTGTGCTTCTGTCTAAAGACTCTTATCCCACCCTGCTTTGTATGGAAAGTTATACTCATCTTATTCCCCTTCTAGATTAAGCCTCCTGAGCAGGACCATGCCATATTCATTTTTCTATTTTCTCAAGCTCAGAGCAGGCACTCTGTAAATAGTATCACAAAAAAATTAGGCCATCAGAGATGGAAAGCACCTTCAACATGACCCAGTCATTTTACAGATGAGGAAACTGAGGCCTACCTCCTATTGCCTAAATGTTGGTATCCCTGGAGGCTCTGATTTGGCCGTCTTTCTCTATATGTTCTTCTTTTGGTTCAGTTAATCATCCGCATGCAAATGATTCTTAAATCTTTATATCTAGCCCTGATCTTACCCCACCCCAATTGAAATTAAAACCCATATTACCTACTGCATGCTGAACATCTCTACCTGGATTTCCCATCAGCATCACAAACTCAACATGTCCAAAAAGGAACTCATCATCTTCCCCTCCTTCGTACTTCTGTCTTTCTGACGAGGGTACCACCAACATTTTATCATATACATTCATGACCTTGGAATTATCTTTGACCATTTGGTCTGTCTTACCACCATATCCATTCATCTGCTAAATCTTTCATAGTTTACCTGTAAAAGTTATCTCATATCCAACTCCCTTCTTTATTTACACTGTCATCACCATAATTCAGGACTTCATCTCCTTTTGATTATTGTAATAGCCTCCTAATTAGTGTCGGCTGGCAAGTAGCTAGATTTATATGGCACTTGAAGGTTTGCAAAGTATTTTGCAAATACCATTGTGGTTATAATCTCCATTTTGCAGTTAGGGAAACTGAGGCTGAGAGAATGACTTGCTAATAAGCATCTGAGGTCAGATTTAAACTGAGGTCTTCCCAACTCCAGGTCCAGCAGCTGCCTCAACCTCCTTTATCTTCAATCTCTTTTCCATATAAGGGCCAAAGTAACCCTCCTACAGCAGATATCTAAGCATTATCACTGCCCTGCTCAAAAACCTTGTTGGTTCCCTACTGCCTCTAAAGGCCCCTTATCATCTCTCTTCAACCTGCCTTTCCAATATTATTTCAGATTATTCTAGATCACCCTCTACATTCTAACCATATGGACTACCTAATGACGGATTTTTTTTTTATTTTGGGCTAGGCAATGGGGTTAAGTGACTTGCCCAGGGTCACGCAGCTAGTAAGTGTCATGTGTCTGATTTGAACTCAGGTCCTCCTGACTCCAGGGCTGGTGCTCTATCCACTGAGCCACCTAGCTGCCCCCTTAATGACTGTTTTCAAACTGGACATGTCACCTCACCCCTCCCTGCATCTGTACTAACCATCCCCTATTTCTGGAATGCATTCCCTTCTCATCTTTGCTTCTCAGAATCCTTATCTGCCTTAACTCAAGTGAGCTGCCACTCTTCTCAGGGAGCCTTCCCTGATCCCCCAAGGTATCCTTACTCTCTTACACTTTATCTTTACTTGTTTGTATTCCTCTAGAAGAATGTAAACCAGAGGTGGGAACCCCGTGGTCTCGAGGCCACATGTGGCCACATATGGCTGGACCCCTGATGTAAACTCTCTAAGGGAAGGGACTGTTTTGTTTTTGTCTTTGTATACTTCAGTACCTGAGTTCCATGATCTTAGCCTACGTTACTGAGGTTGAGTAGCAGAGCCAGATACTAGATACAGAATTATTTGTTGACTGAAAGAAAGACTGCCTATCCCCCAATGCTGACTACCAGTCTTATTCAGGGAACTGGTTTCCTCATCCATCTGCCAAAGGAGGTCCCAGGGCCCTTCCCCCAAAGACACATACATTCCTACGTGTGTTCCTGGGTCTCAAGGCAGCACAGCCTCACTTATTAGTGATTCTGATGGGGGGAGGGGTATTTCAAATGAGGACGGCATGGAGGGGACAGAAGGAGTGAAGCCATATTTGGGATTAATGGACAGCCCTTCTAAATCCACCCCTTTTTAATGCTACTAAAACCACAACACCTAGCAGTATGATTCAATGGAAATAATAATAACAATAATTATTATTGTAACTAGCATTTATATAATATTTTAAGGTAAAACAAAGTACATTATATATGTTAAGTCATTTGATTCTTACAGTAGCCCTATGAGTTCACCCCTGTGAGATAGTTAGTATTATTATCCCCATTTTTAGAAGTTAAGTGACTTGCCCAGGATCACACAGCTAGTAAGAGTCTGAGGTAGGACTTGAACCTAGATCTTCCAGTTTCAGATCCCATGGGCCTCGTGATCAGAAGGCCTAGGTGAGAATTCCAGCTCCAGAACTTTTCAGCTGTGTGATATTGGGAAAATCACCTAACCCATCTGTGCCCCAGTTTCCCCATCTGTGAAAGAGGGAAAATAATTCTCGGTTTACCTACCTCAGAGTGTTGTTTTGAGGAAATTGCTTTGTAAACATTAAAGTACAATTGGAATGTGAATTATTATTCTTAAAGACCAGGTGTTCTCAGAATGTGGTCTGGGGACCCTAGAGGTCTCCTAGACCTGTTCAGGGGGTCTTTAAGATCAAAATTACTTTCCTAATAAGTCATTTTAATTTCTAAAAAGGTAAATATCCTAATATAATCCATTTCAACAAAAGCTCTTTGGGGGTCCTCAGTAATTTTCACTTTTACCTATGGATAGGGCCAACCTAACCTGAGAGTCTTTTAAGCCCAAAGTAGACCCCTAATCTGGATTGCTAGAGGGAGAGGTATCTCTGACTTATTCCCCCCCACCTTGCTGAGTCTCTAAATCAAGCCTTCCTTCTAAGTGTTCTCACCTGGTCTCTTCTAGCTCAGAGATCTTCTTTTACTGCCCCAAACCCTACAGCATTTTTTTTGTATCTTCCTGATATCATGTGTTGTTATATGTTTTAGCCATCTAGACCTATCATGTAAACTACTCTCTCCCCAAAGTGCCCAGCTCTGCCAACAAGAAATAGGTGCTGAACACAATTTTTATTGAACTGAATCATTCAAGGATCTTCGGAGTCTAAGATACTGTGAATCTTGGATCCTGAAATCAATACTAATAAAAATCCAGGCTTTCACAGAGACTGAGTTGAGAAAGCCACCGAATCCACCCTGTCCTTGGAAACAAACCTCCTGTACAATCTACCTAACAAGGGGTGATCCACCCATCCAGTGGAAATTCATTAGAATGTGAGCTCTTTGAGAGCGAGGACGGTCATCTTTGGGATTCTATTTCCATCACCAGCACAGTTCTTCACATAGAGTAAGCACTTAATAAATATTTTTTGATTCATCCATTCACTCATTCATTCAGGGATCATGAACCCACTGCCTTGGGAAGCAGCCCATTCCCCTTTGGGAAAGCTCTAATTGTTAGGAAGTTTTGTGGGGTTCTTTTCCCCTGAAATGAAGACTAAACCTGCCTCTGTAATTTCTACCCATTGCTCTCAGTTCAGCCCCCTGTCTAGGAGGACAACAACAAAATCCCTTTTCTCCATGGTGGCCCTTTAAACGCTTGAAGACAACTCTCTTACCTCCCCCGGTTTTCTCTTCTCTGGCCTACACATCCCTAGCTCCTCCAATCAGTCCTCATGTTCCATGATTTGAAGCCCCTTCCATCCTCATGGCGCTTCTCGGAAAACTCTCCAACTTATCAACTTCTTTTTACAATGTAGTGTCCAGAACTAAACATAATCATTTAGAATGTGGTCTATCCAGAGGAGAGTACAGTGGTCCTAACCTTTCCCTCTTTGTGGGTGCTAGATAACTGTCTTCATGCAGCCTAGGAAGGCATGAACTGTCTGTCTTAGCTGCCATATCACATTGTTGACTCCTAGTAAGCCTACAGGGTCACTGAAACCCCTAGATCCTTTTCAAACAAATCATACTTGTGAAGCTGGGAGGAAGGAAAAGGGACAGAGTTTAATCCTAAGTTTAAGACTGCTTTTTATCTCCAGTAAACTTATTAGATTCAGGTCAATATTCTTGTTTAAGTTTTTTTGAATCCTGATTTTATCATCCAAACAATTAACAAGAATTTATTAAGCACCTACTATGTGTGAGGCACTGTGCTAAGCACTTTGGATACAAAAACTTAAGTTGAACAGTTAATTCTCTCACTGAGCTAAGGGCATTCTCCTGAGGGCGTAAAACATGTATAAGGATAAGTAAATATAAAGAGCTTGTATTCTGTCAGGGAATGTATCATGCATATTTAGTATTCAGTATTTGGGCAATATTCTTTGTTTAATATTTGGGCAGCCAGGTGGTGCAGTGGATAGAGTGCTGGGCCTTGCACCAGTAAAGGCTCATCTTCTTGAGTTCAAATCTGGCCTCAGACACTTACTAGCTGTATGACCCTGGGCAAATCACTTAACTCTGTCTCAGTTTCCTCAACTGCAAAATGGGGATAACTGTAGCACCTACCTTTTATGTTGGTTGTTGTGAAGATCAAATGAGATCACTGTAAAGCACTTAGCACAGTGCCTGAAACGTAGTTAGTGCTCTATAAATGTTTATGCTTATTCAGTAGGCAGCTAGATGGTGCAGTGGCTAGAGTGCTGGGCCCAGATTCAAGAAGACCTGAGTTCAAATTTAGCCTCAGACACTTATGAGCTGTATGACCTTGGGCAAGTCACTTAACCTGTGTATGTCTCAGTTTCCTCAACTGTAAAATGGGGATATACCAGTTGCTGTTCAGTTATTTCAGTTTCTTCATGACCCCATTTGGGGTTTTCTTGGTAAAGATACTGGAGTGGTTTATCATTTCCTTCTCCAGCTCACTTTACAGATGAGGAAACTGAGGCAAATGGTTAAGTGATTCTCCCAGGGTCATACAGCTAGTAAGTGTCTGAGGCCAGATTTGAATTCAAGTCTTCCAGACCCTAAGCCCAGCACTCTATCTACCTAGCTACCCTAATATGACAATACCTATGTTTAATGGTTGTAACAGTCAAATGAGATATTTTTGAAATGCTTATTATATAGTAGGCACTAAATGCTAGCTACTGTTATTTATAAGTACATTCAAAGTAGATACCAAATTAACTTGGGGGGAGGTCACATACAAGGTTGTATTTGAGCCAAATTTTGAAAGAAACCAGGTTCCCTACAAGGCAGGGGTGAAGAGGGAGAGCATTTCAGGTCTGGGGAGAGCCGGAGCAAAGACAGGCCTGAGATGGAGATAGATGATGCAGAAATCGTGTGGAAAGAACAGCAAGGAAGTCAGTCTGGCTGGATCCCAGAGTGTGGAAAGAGGAGTGATACAAGAACAAAGTGGCAAAGGTAGCTTGGGGCTGGATTAGAAAAGGCTTTAAAAGTCAAACTGAAGAGTTTACATTTGTTCCTGAAGGAAACAGGGAGCCATTGGAATCCACTGAGAATGGGAATAATATGGCTGGACCTGGGCTTTAGGAAAATGGCTTTGACAGTTGTATGTAAGATGAGTTAGAGGGAGAGGCTTGAGGCATCATGGAGATTAATTACATGGTTATTGCAATAGTCTATGTGTGAGTTAATGAGGACCTAAAATAGGGTGGTGGCTGGTGTGCATAGAAAGAAGGGGATGGTTGTGAGAAATGTTGTAGGGATAGAAATGAAAAGATTTGGCAACTGATTGGATATGTGGGGTGAGCTCAAGAGAGGAACTAATGATACCAACCAAGGTTTTATATATATACATATATATATATATAACTGGGAGGATGGTGGTGCCCTTGATGTGATAGGAAAGTTAGGAAGACAGGAGAGTTTGGGGAGAAAGATAATTAGTTCTATTATGGACATTTTCAATTTGGGATGTCTACAGAGCATACAATTTGAGATGTCCAAGAGGCAGTTGGTGATAACAGACTACGTCATGAGTGAGGTTGGGTCTGGATTTTTAGATCTGGGAATCATCAGCATAGAGATAATAACTGAATTCAAGGTAGCTGCTGAGATCTTCAAGCAAAAAGTTCCATTTAAAAGTTCAAACCATTTGAGTCCAGCTAGTCAATCACTTGTGAATCCACATAACTGTACCATCATCAAGCTCTCATCTTTCTCATAGAAATAGCAGAAACCTTGTCAAATGGCTTGCTGATATCTAGATAGACTGTATCTACAGCAACCTCTGATCTTCCAGTCAGAGATCTTCCACCCCATCAAAAAAGGATATTGAATTAATCCACTGTAAGCTATTCTCAGGGAAAACATGCCAACTCTTTGTGATCACTGTTTCCTTTTCTAGATGTTCACAAACAATCCCTTTAAAAATACATTATAGAATTTTGCCAGCGATCAAAGTAATTGGTGTTACTCTCTTACTTTACTTTCAACTTGCAAAGCTCTTTACAATCTACAAAGCAACTATTGGGGAGGCAGGGCAGGAATTATTATCCCTTTTGGAGTATTACCACCTTTGTGTGAAAATGAGGCCTGGTTGCAAACTCAGATCTAAGGAGGAGGTACCAGTTCCAAATTAACTGAGGTCCAGATGAAAGTGTGCATTCCAGGGCAATGCATCAAACCACAACACTTTCTCCATCTACTTTTATTGAACTGAGAAAAACTGATGGGTGAGAATGCTTAGGCTTAGACTTTCTAAGGCCTAGAGCCAGACTCCATTTGACCATTTAAGGGATTGGACATGACAGAGCCATTATTCTCTGGCACACTGTCCTCTCCTTCCCCAAGGAGAGGGGCTGTTGGCTGAGAGAGAGCTCAAGGCTGTCCCCCCTGGCCTTAGCTCCGCTCTCAGAGCGAGTACTTTGAGTTGACCCTGCCTTAGGGTAGAAGGTAAAAAGAATGCAAAGAAGAAAAGATAATGTCTAGAACCCCTTCCGCCCCAGCAGTCTACAGGTCATGCCTTCCAGTGAGGGGGATGATGAGCAATAGTTCCCAGAACTCTGTGCCTGATGGACATATACCTCTTCATAGAAGGAGAAGCAATGTTGAGAGAAAGGACTTGCCCTCTAAAGAGGTTCCCACTATGACTTCCCAGCTAGATACCTCCATCCTCTGATGTCCTCATTTTTCCAATGGAAATCACAGAATCTCAGATCTGGAAGGGACCTCAAAGGACATTTAGTCCTTAACAAGAATATTGTTGACAACATACCTGATAAGAGGTCATCCTCTCCAGCCCCCAGTCATATAATATACACTCTGCTGGGTGGCTCAGTAGATAGAGCACTGGGCCTGGAATCAGGAAGACCAGAGTTCAAATCCCACTTCAGATACTTACTAGTTGTATGACCCTAAGCAAGTCACTTAATCTCTATCTGCCTTAGTTACGAATAAGGATAATGAAAGCACCTACCTCCCAGAGTTGTAGTGAAGATAAAAATGAGATAATATTTGTAAAGTGCTTTGCAAACCTCATAATGATATATAAATGCTAGTTATTAATTATTGTGAGCATAATAGCTTTGACTGAAAGACTCATAGGCAAAGGGGGGACACAGACAAGGCAATGTTGGTACTATCACGTTAAATTTAATGTATATTAAAAGGAATTAAGTTGTATGTAAGGGTTTTGCCATTTCACATACAATCCCCATTTTCTGTTCTTTGGTGAAATATTCATATTGATTATTTTCTAATTCACAGTAAAAAATTAAAAAGAAAAAAAGACTATAAATTTTGTGTGTTGAATTAAAACTTACTCCTTGATAACCAGTGATACTATTTTCTTCTGATAGCACAACTCTATCCCACTTCTTGATTCCCCTAATCAAAACACCCCTCTACAGCATCCAATTTTCTTATTTCTCCAGTCAAAATGTTGGTTATGCTTTCTCATTTGTCCAATGGAAATGCCCCCACACCATCCCACTTCCTTATTCTTTTTATTAAAATGCCCTCACAGGCCATCCCACTTCTCTTTCCCTTGTCTCCTGCATTGACCCTGGGCCAGGTACCTTCTAAGTCCAAGCTGACCATGCCAGCATCATCCTCGAGCTCATTGGTGACCTCACATTCATAACGGCCATAGTCCTGTAGCGTGACATTTCGGATAATCAAGGAAGCATCGCCAGGGCCATCTTCCTGCAGGGATGTCCGACCCCGGTAGCTGCCAAAGGCCCGCCTCTCCTTGCCCATAGCCACAAAAACATCACGGAAAGCCAATGGGTCAGTCACTTTGGTCCACTTGAGGCGGATTTCATCCTCATCATGAGCTGAGATGTCGTAGTGATATCGGCAGGGCAGGACAATGGTTCCACCTCGGTGTGTCACCACCTTTCCTGGTGCTGTCTGGACCACCACGGCCCCTGACTCATCCTCTGGAGAGCAGGGAGTGTTAGAGGGAAGAGGCAACCATCCAGAGGCACTCTAATTACTCTGTCCACTTACCCCATGTCACCCTACTCTTTAGTCATTGTGGACTTGGGGAAGAATATGGGGAAGAGTCAACTACAAAAGGCAAGCTAATCTCTTCATTCCTAGGTCAAGATCTGAATGGAGGTAAAAGGTTAGGTTGGAAGGAATACTGATTGGGAAAAAAGGATTTGAGTATTCACTCTAGCTCATCCCCACTTTATGCGCCCTTAGCCTTCCCTCCCTATGTGATGTCTTTCAGTAGTTAGAGAGGGCTCAGTGAAGGGATGGGGGTCCATGGATTAGGATAGGAATCTCATGGTAAAATGAGGGTTCAATGAACAATGTGGGGACTAAATGAGGGAATGAGAGCCTGAGGGAAGGAGTAGAGAGAAATGAGATGAGAAATTCAGCAAAGGGGGATGAGGGCCCATTGAAGAGAATGAGAGCTTGGTGAGGATGTTGGGGACATGGGAGATCAGCTGTCGGTGAGACAGACTGGAGTTCAGAGAAATACTGTGGCTCATCGAAAAGAATGGAGGGCTCACTGAGGGAAGGTGGGCTCTCATTGACTGGACAGGGAAATAAGGGCAGAGTGAAGTTTAGGGAGGGAGATAAAAACTTAATGAGGGGGATTGGACTCAATAAAAGTATTAAAGATCAGTGAGGGGAAGAAGTGAGGACTCAGTAAGGAGATGAGCGCTTAATGAGGAATGTAAGGGTTCAGTGAGGAGGATGGGAAGCTAAGAGACAAGGATGGGAGCCCATTGAGCCCTCATCAGGGCCGAAGAGGAGGGAATGAAGGCTTAATGAGGGGAATGGGACTCAATAAAAGGATTAAAGATGGGGGGGTGGAACCTCACTATGGCAATGAAAGCTTAATGAGGAATGAAAGGGTTCAGTGAGGGAAGTAGATGCTCATTCAGGGAATAGGGGGTTACGGGAAGTGAATGAGGGTTCAGTGAAATGGATGAGCCCCATGAAATCTGTGAAGGAGGGGATGGTTTATCTGTGGAGGCCAGGATTGTGCCTCATTTCTCAGAATGGCAAGGTACTTTATTGCTAGGGAGAACCCTGCCCCACCCCCAACTCACCTAGCACATGGACAATCTTCTTCCGGCCTCTGTCACTGCCCCCGAGAGCAGAGGTTGTAAATACCAGGAGGATCCAGATGTTGATGCCCACTGCCTGGCAGGAGGGCCCCTAGGGGAATGGAGGTGCCCAATGTAACTAGCAAGTAGGGACTGAACCTCCTGGGGAATAGGAACTGGGGAACGAGGAATGTTTATGCAGGCATCTACTGCACCTCTACCCACAGACCCACAGTAGCCAAGAGTCCTCCATTCCCATATGCCTCCCCCTTCTCTGATCATTTGCAGTATGAATTCCTAGAGAGGATAGATTTTGACTTGGGTTTTGAAGGACGTATTGGGAAATGGGGGAGACAAAGAGAGGGAAAGAAGCAAAGTACATTCTAAGGGGAAGGAGGAGCCTGAGGATGAGTTGGGGTAGGAAGGCTTAAGATGGGTTCAGGATACAGTAAGGAGGCCAGTTGGCTAGAGGATGGGGTATGCGTAGAGGCATCATGAAGGGTAAGTCAGTGCAGTGCAGTGTAATGGGAAAAGCCTTGGCCTAAAAGCGAAGAGACCTGTGTCCTTATCATTGTTCTGCCACTGGCCAGCTGTGTGACCTTGAGCAAGTAATTTCCCCTTCTCTGGACCTCAATTTCCTCATCTATAAAAAAGGAAGAGAGGGGAACTAGGTGACCCTTCCAGCCCCAAGAAATACACAATTCTAAAGCTGGAATAGTAGGTTGGGAACAGATTCTGAAGGGCCTTGAAGGCCAGACTAAGTAATTTGCATATAAGTCTGAGCCCTGACTGTGTTTGCGAGTGGAGGTCTGTCATCCTGCCCTCAATGGTATTCCTTTCCTCTGTGTCTATTTCTCTTTCTTCCCTCCTCTAGCCAACCAATAATGTTCCAAGATGGAACCTGAGCTAATGGTGTCCATCTAGAGACTGGTAGTCATGACAGACTGAGACTTGGTATCCCAGGCCCTACTTTTCATAGTGGACACAGAAAAGCCATGGCCAGGAAAGTACAGCCTCCTAAAAATGAAAAGAATAATGGATTTGTGAACCTCAAATGAGATAAGATGTGAAAATGGTACTATAAAACAGTAATCATAGAATGTCAGATGAGAGGCACCAGAGAACCCAGATTATTAGAGCTGGGGGACGGAGGTGGGAGGGAGGGGGAACCTTAGAACACACTGTATCCAAACTTGGCAGGGACCTGAAAACACAGAATATCAGACCTGGGAGGACCCTTACACAGGATGTCCGGGCTGGGAGGGCCCTTAGAACACTGAATGTCATTGCTGGGAGGGTCCGTAGAACATGGAGTGTCAAAGCATGAGGACCTTCCTGTTCTGAACTGGAAAACTGATATTCCAAGAGAAGTAACTTGCCAAGGAAACACAGTGAGATCGGAGCAGTATGGGGAAACCCAAGCCCCTGACTATCAGTGCAGACTTTTAAAATGCAAATCATTTCTTCTTCTTGGTAGTAGTAGCAGTAGTTGAGGTGAGGAGAGGGGGCAGCAGCCCTCCTTAGACTGTGGGATCCCCTCCCCTCATCTTTTAGGTCCTGTGGATCCTAGCAGCACTTCAACCATTTCTCTGCACTCAAGTGGGCACCTCATGCACACTCACAGTCCCATTCTCTTTCATGAGTGCACACTCACGCGTGCACACGCGCACGCACACACACACACACACATAAAATCCCCTTTACGTCTGTTCTCTTCTCCACACACTCATATGCTCTGCCGCCCTCTCCCCCCTCCCTTCTCTCTCTTACACACGCACACACACACACACACACACACACTCTTCTCACACACACTCTCCTACAAACTAACACACACGTGCACACACAGGCACACTGCTATGGGGGCAGATTTCACTCAGATGTGCTCTGTCTCTCTCTGTCTCAGGCTACCCCTTCAGAAAAATGCAGGTTCCTCAAAGAGAAATGCTCCTCCTTCTCCTTCTCCAATGCTGTTTGCTGGGGGTGGGCTCTTCTTTGACTGTAGGTATGCGAAGAGAGGAGGGAGGGTACAAAGGCTTCTAGGAATTAGTTTCAGATATAGACTCCAGGGTCTTTGGCTCCCTGTCCCACTATCTAGGAGCCCCGAGGCTACTTAAGTGTAGCTGGAGAAGAGGCGGGTGGGTATCAGGGGAAGGGACAGACACGGAGATTCTTGCAGACCAAGCAAAGTAACACCAGGCAGACAGCCTAGGCTAGGCAGGGGCTGTGGGTTAGGCCAGCCAGCAAGCCAGTTCCATATGTCTCCCAGAGACTCCCAGACTTGTTCCCAGCCCAGGACCCCCAGCCCTGAGGACTCAGGGGCAGGCAGCAGTGGGGCAGGGGCATTCAGCGGGGGGGAGGGGCAGGTAGTGGGGCAGCAGGGGCAGGTGGCGGGCCTGCCAGGACAGGACAGGCTAAAGGCTAAACTCAAGCTGCAGTGGTGCAGAGGCTCTGCAGGGAAAGGGAGAGAGAGAGCCAGCAAAGGAGCATGCCGCATTTCCCATTTCAAGGTTATTCTGGTGGGGGCTGGGAGACTGCACCAAGACAGGTAGGACAGAGATTCAGAGAGACAGAGACAAGGAGAGACAAGTACAGAAAGAGACAGAGAGAAAGAGACCAGGAGAGTCAGAGAAATAGAGACAGGGAAAAACAAACAAAAACAGAAAGAGGGAGAGATAGAAATTGTGACAGTGTCAAATGAAGAGACAGAAGCCAGGAAAGACACAGAAAGAGACCAAGAGAGAGATAGAGGAGTAAAAGGAAATGGGCAGAAAAAGCAGAGAAGGGTAAGAGGAGGGGAGAGGGGGAAAGAGAGAGAGAGAGAGAACAGAGAGACTGACAGAGATGAGAGGAGAGAGGCTGAGAGAAAGAAACAGATAGAGAGAGAAAAGAGAGACAGAGACATAGAAAAGAGAGAGGAACAGAGAGAAAAGAAACAGAGACAAAGTGAAATGAGGACCTGGATGGGGTGGAGGGAGTCACTTACCATCTTCCCAAGAGCCAAGAGGCAGCTGAAACCTTTAATGCTCCATCTGACAAAGTTGCCAGGCTCCTCTACTTTGTCCTAGAGCTGGGTTGGCACGTGTCTGGTGGAGGCTGGGCCCCACAGTCCTTGGCACAGGCGTGCTCATAGAGGGAGGGGCGTGTGGAGGTGGGGTGGAATGAAGAAGAGCTGGGACTGGCTAGGTCCAACTCTGCCCAGGGAAATAGGTGGATGCTGGGAGGAGGTCTGGACAGGGAGGGATTTTTAAAAAGAGGCAAGGTGTTAGGTCAGGCAGGGGTTAGGCTCTCTGGTGCTGCAGGTCCAAGGCTGAGGATAGACTTAGCACCCACCCACCCTACTCCAGGGATGGAAGGGGAGGAGAGTGTAGAAGGGCAGGAGGCAGCCTCTGGACTGCCTCTCTCAGAGAATGTCCAGGACAGGCTAGTGTGTGAAGCCAGATGGGTAGTGCGGTACCATCCTTTAAAGACTAGCCTAGGGACAGATGAACCAAGAGGCATGTCCAGTGTGCCCTTTGGTGGGGGAAAAGTCCTCTTCAGCACTAGAAACTCCAACTGGACTAGGCCGATGCCAGGAATGTGGTGGGAATGGGGGCAGGGAGAACCAGAGCCAAGGACCCCTGCCTCTGACACCCAAGCTGGGGTGGTGAGATGTTGGCTCTCCCATACTCTCTGAATCCTAGACTTATGTACCAGGAAGAAACCTCTGAGATCATCTCTCCCATGTTAGAGACGAAAGCTGGGTCGAAGAGAAAGGACGTAGCTCATCTGATGTCACAGTCTGATCAGTGTTGGGGAGTGAGGGCACATATGCCAACACACAGAGCCAGTGGACTGCAGTACTGTAACCATTCTGTCCCCACCAGCTGCCCCCTCTCCTTTGATGTAATCCCAAATAATAATAATAGCTAACATTTTTATATAGCACCTACTATGTGTCACAATGTCACTTGTGACAAATTTGATCTCCCTGACAACCCTCGGAATTATCTCCATTTTACAGTTGAGGAAACTGAGGCAAATAGAGGTGAAGTGACTTGCCCAAGGTCACACAGCTAGTAAGTGTCTGAGGCTCGATTTGCACTCATATTGGTCTTCCTAACTCCAGGCCCACCGCTCCATCCACTATCTGCCCCAAATTCCTCAGAATAAACCCCACTAATTCTATAAGGCCCTGGGGTTCTCATGAGCAATTCAAAGGTTCTCTGAAGTATAGGAAAGGAACAAAGTTGGGGAGAAAAGAGGGTCTTTCTCATGACTTTCTACCATCTGAGACAGCTTGGGCTTAGAAGCCCATACAGTTATCTTCCACATGATGAGGTTAGGGGCATAGCACCCCCACCCCACCCCACCCTCATCCTTCCATGATCTGGTAAATCCTCATAAAATTTTTTGGCCCTCCCATTATACTAGAGAAGAAGTCTGAATTATTATGGTATTAAAAGATAAAATGTGTTGATATTATACAACATTATATATATATATATATATATATGAATAAAATATTATGCATTTCTGAGTTTCTAAACTTTTTCTGTGTCATCTGCTGGCCTTTGCATGTCATTTGCTACTTCCACAAAACTCCCCAAAAATTCCCATTTAATTTCTCATGCCGACCTGTGGTGTATCAAAAGCACAACGGGGAAAGTCTCGATGTGGAAGGGATAACTATAGTCATCTTTGACCTTGGCTGTCTGTACTTGAGGGCAGGCATTTCCTCCCCAGACACATGCCCTACTCCCCCTTCTCAGAGTTGACCCAACACACACTTGGGCCAAATGTCTTTGTTCAACAAAAAACAATTTACTACAGAAAACAAGAATGGCAAAGGCATGAAGTCTTTACAGAGAGTGCAAACCCAGGCACAGAGAAGAGAAAGCCCACTTTAGAAACTGTTCCTCTGGTTCTTCTGGTCTGGAAACCTCCATCCACCCCACCTTGCATTCAGTCCACTTTTGGCCCAGTGGAAGCCCTGCCAGCCTGCAAATGAGTCTGGATCCATGCTGAGCTCACACACTCTCAGCTGTTCCTTATGACCTCTTCTCTTGATCACTGCCTTTCTTCCTCCTAGCCCAGATATCTAGTTCCCCTTCCAGAAAGATTTATGGGATCCTCAGCAATCTCTCCAGCAAAAGAAAAAAAAAAGCACCGGGCCTAGAGTCAGAAGATCTGGGTTTGAAAATCTGCCAGTTTCTCACTGTGACACCTTGGGCAGCTCCTTTCCCTTCTCTGTGCCTCCATTTCCCCATTTGTTAAATTAAAGGTTTGGCCACAGACAATATCAAAGGTCCTTTTCAATTTTAAGATTCTGTTTCTGTGTTTCTCCAAGTCACCTGTCACCATCATGGACATCACTTTCCTGTGAAGGCCCTGGCAAGGTCATTCTTCTCTTCTGCCCTCACTTCCCAGCCACTCACCCAAACTTTAGTTCAACTACATCTGTAGGGTTCTCCTCCCTCTCCTCCCACCTCTGCCCCCAAAAGTATTTTCTCACACAGGAACGGTCTAGAAAGCCCAACCAAGGGGCAGCTAAGTGGCGAAGTGGATAGAGCATCGGCCCTGGATTCAGGAGGACCTGAGTTCAAATCTGGCTTCAGACACATAACACTTAATAACTGTGTGACCCTGGGTAAGTCACTTAACCCACTCCCTACCCAAAAAAAAGCAAAGAAAAAAAAGAAAGCCCAACCAATAATATGATAGTTAGCTTTGTAAACTGTGGCTTGTTATAATGAGACCTTAGGTATCTGTTTTCAGAGTCTGTAGTTGCTTTGGGAATCTAAACCTCCAACCCTGGGCAGGAGGGCTTGAGAGGGGAGAGTTAGGCTTGGGAGAAGGGGTGTCTCCCAGCCCCCAAGATCTCCATAGGATAAAGGGCAGTTCCTCCAAGTCACTTCATGCACACACTCCCATCTCAGAGGTCAGGCCAGAGAGAAGATAGAGAAGGGAAACATGTGATTGGCTCAGTGTTCTCTGACATTGGCAGTCTGAGTAGACCACTGATGGAGGCCTCTGTCCAGTTCTGGAATGACAAGACAAGGGGAGGGTGATCAGAACTGAAGGCCATGCCATATAAAAATCAACAGAAGGAACCGGAGCGGAAAAAAAAAAACTTAGCAGCAACATGATCACTAAGTGTTTGAATATATGTCATGGGGAAGTGGGGCCGGGTAGACTTACTCTGCTTGGCCCCAAAGGGTGGAACCAGGAGCGATGAGTAGAAAATACAAAGAGGCAGATTTGGGGCTCAGTATTCCAGCACTTCAAAGGAAAATTCTCAGGGTAAAGAAAATCTTCCTAACATGTAAAGCTGTCCAAAATGGAATCAGCTGCTTTGAGGCAGGGCAGTCAGTTTCCTCTCACTGGATGACCACTTGTTCAAAGTCTTGGAGAGGGAATTCTTCATCAGATAGGGTTGGGATAGTTGACCTCTGAGGTCATTTCAAACTTTGAGATTCAATGATTCAGTGACCAGAGCTAGGGCAATGAGGCTGGCCCTCAGGGAGGTGGCTGGTGGTCCCAATGGCCCTTGGTCAGGTGGGACCCTCTCAGTGGTTTTTCTTGTTCTTTTCCTGCTGGCTGAGGGTGGGGGGACAGAGGAAAAAGGCTGGCCATCGGATGCAGCGGTAGGCCAGGAGGTGGGGCCCCACAGCATAGAGAAGGTTGAGGATAAAGAGGAAGGACCAGACATCTTCAGGGGTTCGGTAGGGGTAGGGGGTGTGAGGATGCATTGAGGCACCGATGTGAGAGAACTGGGCCTATAATAGAGAAAAGCAGAGAGTGAGAAGGAGATTAGCACACCCTGGACGTCCTAGGGGCAGGGGTGGGGAACCTGCAGCCTCGAGGCCACATGTACCCTTCCAGGTCCTCGGGTGCAGCCTTTTGACTGAGTCCAAGTTTTACAGAACACAAAGGGGATTTGTTCTGCGAAGTTTGGAGTCAGTCAAAGGGCTGCACTTGAGGACCTAGAAGGTCACATGTGGCCTCGAGGCCACAGGTTCCCTACCCCTGGAAGGATAATAGGAATGGGGCTGCTCTGTAAGGAACCCTAAATCTCTTTCAGTTTTCAGTACTATCCACCCTATGGCCCAGCCAACACTAACTCTGTCTCACTCTGATTTCTTTCACTCTCTCTCAGTGTGGCTCTGTATCTGTTTCTTTCTGCCTCTTCCTTCAGCAAGTGTTTTAGTCTGTATCTATGTGTCTTCATCTCTCTCTGTGTCTCTCAATCTGTATGTGTCTTAATTCACGTGTATCTTAGTGTATGGCAGTCTTCTGGCACATCCCAGTCTCTCTACGTATCTCTCTGGGTCTCTAAGTCTCTCTGGGTCTCAGCTTCTGCTTGCCCTACTTCTTTTTAACTACTTTTCTCCACTGGGAATAGCAGTGACTAACTTAAGAATTCACCCTTTACAATCTCTCTCTCTTTTTCTCTCCCTTCCCTTCCTCTGTTTCTCCTCCCCTTCCCCCTCTCATGCTCTCTCTCCTCCATCTCTCTTCTCCCTCCCTCTTTTCTTTCTCACCCTCTCTCCTCCTCCTTTTCCTCCTTCTTTTCTCTCTCTGTCTTTCTCTGTCTCTCTTTGTATCTCTGTCTCTCTTTCTCTGTCTCTGTCTCTTTCTCTCTCTTTCACACACACACACACACTCCCCCACACAAACACACATGTACACATACACACGCAGAGAGGAATTTTAAAAAAAAGACCCCATATCTGTTTTGTCCTGGACTCACTGGGATAGGCCTTCTGCCCTGATATTCCTGCCCCAACTAATCCCTCTTCCCACTCCCCTTCCCCACCACCTGCAGCCTCTCCCCTCACCTGGCCCATGGCCCCTGCAAACACCAGGGCCCAATCTGGGAGCCAGGCACAGCCAGGCCACAGGAGGCCATAAGCAGCCAGGATGAAAAAAGGCAGGGCATAGAACAGGAACACCAACATCTGAAACCGAAGAGATCTGAGTACATCATCCCTCATGACTCTCCTTCTCTCCATCCCAATTGCACAAGCCCCAGAAAAATGGGAAGCAGGTTTTGTCAAGGACATTCCCACACTCCCCTCTCAGATTAGGAGGAGTTCTCGTCTCCCCCTCAGGCTGGAGACAGCCCGAGGTCAGGAACTGAACCGCTTCCCTCTGCCATCCCCCCTCCCATAGCCTACCCATCCCCAACCCTCCCCAGGAGGCAGTTACAGTCCTGAAACATGAAAGAGGGATTTCTGAAGGGTTGACAGTCCTCATCCGGGAAAACTCTGCCAATCCTGGTGTTGGGGCCAGGGCAATCTCACCTGGATCTTGGGATAGGCCACAGGGTCTCGCAGGTATGGCTCATACTGATACACATAGATGAAGCAGGAATCTGTGGGACAGTCTAGGACCACCTGGAGGCACAGACAAGATTGGACCTAATTATCACCAACACACGAAAGCTCCAAAGGACAGAGCTAGGGCATTGACCACCATGCCCAGCCTCAGAGAGCTCATCCCTATTAGAGATGGCAGGCAACATGGAAGATGGCCTGGGAGACCATTTCCCCAAAGAAAGAGGCCTGCAGCAGGTACCAAAGAGCTTCCATTGAGATGGTCTGGCTAGAGGCAGAGGAGAGTTGGGGAAGAAGGATCCTTTAGGGAAAGACAATCCATTGGGACACCCACTGAGGAGACTCACCAGGCCACGGAAAATGGTGAACAATCCTGCCAGGAGCAGAAAGATAAACAGAGCCAGGTCCCAGGGCCTCTGGAGCAGCCCCTTCTTATGCTCTTCCAAGATCTATATAAGATACACACACATACACACACCCAGACAGCAAGAGACACACACCCAAAAAGAGATCAAATCAGACAAAGGGTGAATGTCAGGGTTTGTTTTTACTGAAAAGCTCCTTTTTTTTTCCTTAGCAAAATGTATGGCTCAAGAGAGGGGAGAGGGGAGAAAACGCAATAAAAAATTAAAAGAGAGACCACACTTTCCTAACTTACTTCAGAAATCTGGGATCTCATCCATTTGTGTGTCTCCTCTACTGAGGCTGATTACCACCTACTTGGTGGCACTTAGGAAGTGGCCTTTGAGAGAAGCTGAGACTCTCATCACCCTGATACCAGCCTAATGGCTAATAATATCATTAGAAACCTCTGGGAGGCAGCAGGACAGAGTAGGATTCAGAAAAGGATGATGAGGTCAGGAGAGGAGGAGGGAGTCTGGGGACACATAGAACTGATGCTCAGAGGAGAGGGATACATCCTGGGCCAGGAAATGGATAATCCAGATGTCTTAGGATCAGGGAGAGAAACCCAGGCCTGACGGGGAGAAGACAGGAAGCCAAATACAGTCTTTAACCCTATGGGATCTCCAAGGGATACTCATCCCTAAGTTAGACCCAGCTGGTTGCTGGTCCCTCTGTCTCGATCATATCTCTGGATCCAACCTGAGCCTCAAGTACACTTCAAGACAGGAGATTTCATGGCACAGTAGGATGTTGGGGTTGACAACTCACTCTGTGAAGAGGAACAAGAGTCCAGGGGCCTGCAACCCTGAACTCATGTGGGAAGGAATCCTGGCAGGCCATTCATCACCTTACAGATAACACACATATAGCATGGGGAGGACCACTGGACTTGAGAAGACTCAGATTGGAGTCTCAACTGTCTTACTGTGTGACTTCGTGCAAATCACTTCCTCACTCCAAGCCTCAGTTTCTTCATCTATAGAATGGGGATAATACTCATACTACTTTCCTTCTAGGGCTGTTGTGAGAATTAAAGGAAATGGGGCAGCTAGGTGGTGCAGTAGATAGAGCACCGGCCCTGGATTCAGGAGGACCTGAGTTCAAATGCGGCCTCAGACACCTAACACTTACTAGCTGTGTGACCCTGGGCAAGTCATTTAACCCCACTGCCTAGCCAACAAAAAAAAAAAGAGAGAGAGAGAGAATTAAAGGAAATAAGGGAAATAAAAGTGCTATAGAAAGTACTCTAAAAATGTGAGTTTTATCATCATAGAGGAAGCAAGATGGTGCAGTGATTAGTGTTGGACTTGGATTCAGGAATTCCTGAGTTCAAATGCTGCCTCAGACATTTACTAGCCATGTGACCGTGGGAAAGTCACATAACCAGTCTTCCTCAGTTTCCTCATCTGTAAAATGAGGATATGGCATATTTTTCACATGGCTATTAAAAAGATCAAATGAAATCATTTGTATAAAATCCTTTGTAAAGCTGTTAGCTATTATTATCATCATAAGGGCCTTCTGGAGACAGACTATGAAAAGGTGCTTTTTTGCTATCATATGCCACACAACCAGAGGGTGAAAATAATAATAACCTATAGATCTATAGTGTTTCATGGTTTTAAAAGCCTTTTCCTCACAGCAACCCTTTGATGGAGTGCAAACATCCCCGATTTTCAGATGAGGAAACTGAGACTCAGTCACATTAAGTAACTTGTGTAAGGACAGTCAGATGAAAGAGCCAGAACTGCACTGCGCCCCCCCCTCCCGCCAGCCACCTACCCAGTCTCCTAAGTTTGTAGCCAATGCTCTTTCCACTCTCCCACGTGCTAGGGAAGGTACAGAGCACCTCCTTCACTGGTCTGAGGCACTGGTCAGAGTTTTTTGGGTTTTTTTAGACAATTGGGATTAAGTGACTTGCCCAGGGTCACACAGCTAGTAAGTGTCAAGTGTTTGGTCTGAGGCCAGATTTGAACTCAGGTCCTCCTGACTTCAGGGCTGGTGCTCTATCCACTGCGCCACCTAGCTGCCCCGACACTGCTCAGAGTACAAAAAGAACAAACCCCAGGACACTTACCATGTCAACTGTGTAGCCTGCTGGGCCCTTGGCCTGTCTGAAGAGGTGCAGGCCAGCCCAACAAGGGATTAACACATAGGGAATGTTAAGTAAGAAGGACAGTCGGAGCTCAGAGCTGTACTTGCCTGGAGAATGGAGAACAGAATACTCAGTTGAGAGGATGGATCCAAGAGCTGGCCCTGGACCTGGGTACCATCTTCACTTTCTTTCATCCCTCAACCAACTTCCTGCATCTGGTCCTAGTAGTAAATATCTAGCATGATAGCTAGAATTTATATTTTAGGTTTACAAAGCACTTGATAAATACTGTCTCATTTAATTTTCTTGGGAGGTCGATGCTATGGTTACCCCCATTTTACAAATGAAGAAACTGAGGCAGACCATGGTTAAATGACTTGCCCAGGATCATACAGCTAGTAAGTTTCTGAAGCAGGATGTGAATTCAGTACTTCCTGACTCTACCTTCAGAGGTCTATCCATTGTGTCACCTAGCTGCCTTTTGTAAAGCCCATGACCCCTACCCCTACCCCAGATCCAAAAGCAGAGAACGTTGTTGTTGTTGTTTTAACCTAGCTAGGCTTGGGTAGAGCAGGGGCGATAGAGTCAAATAGAAAGAACAGAGACATGGGAGACTGGAGGCCTGGATTATATACCCTGCCTTGCCACTACTCATGTGATTTAGGACAAGTCCCTTCATCTCTGGGCCTCAGTTTCCCTACATGCAAAGTAAGGGTGGACTAGATGATCCTTTCAGTGCTGTGTTCTATAGTTCCTTCCAGCTCTGATACTTTATGCTCTAAGGTCCCTTCCACCTCTGACATTCTGTATTCTAAGGCACTCCCAGCTATAATATTGTACATTCTAAAGTTATCTTCCAGTTCTGAAATTCTGTATTCAGTGTCCTAAGAGCCCACCCAAGTCTAATATTCGAAAATGTAGAAACCAGGATTATATTCAAACATAGCCTTGATCATTCCCCCTTGTTCCACCTGCTAGCTGTCCCAAATACAGAACCCCCACTGTCTATCAAATAAAGAGAAGATTCATCAGATTAACATTCCAAGTGCTCTACTGATCTCAGGCCAACCACCTGTCTAGGTTTATCTGTCTTTTCTTCCCTACTGCAAAAATGAAATAAGTTGACCCAACAATTACTTTCATTGTTCCCCACACATGCCTTCAAACCCCGCCCCCATGTCTAGAATAACCTTATTCTCCTCTCTGTATGTCCAAATACTACCCTATAATCAAGACCTCAATTGCCAAATATCATCTTCTCCTGAAAGCCTTCACAGATCCACCAGGACCCTACCCTAACTGGCAGTGATCGCTCCCTCCTCTGCATCCCCTTAGCCCTATGTCTTTGACTCTCTCCTAAGGCCTAATCACACTCTGTCTTGTATTGTACTTCAAAGTCTCTGTACCTGTGTCTTCTCTACTAGACAGCAAGCCCTTTGAGGGCAAGGACTTGGCTTTATCCATTTCTGCCTGCTGCCTAGCACAGGAGCACTGTGCGTAAGCATTAGTGCACCAGTAGGTCAGTGAACATTTGCAGATAGATGGGTAACTGAGACCCTAGCAGTAATGGCAACAACTCACACTTCCACAGAGCACAAAGGCCTTTATGGCTCCATTTTGGACGCACACTGGCTGTGTGACTCTGGGCAAGTCACTTAACCTCTCAGTTAGGCAACTCTCTAAGACTCTCAGTTTCAAGGAAGATGCTGACCTGCACTGGTGGAGTTTCCTTATCAGGAGGTCTCTATGTCAATAAAATCAAAACTCCAGTCCTTATTCCCACAGCGTCTTCGGGAACTGTGGCTGCTCAGGAGGCTGGGGCTCCTATGGAGGCCATTGCCAGGCAGTACAGAAAGGAAGGAAGGAAGGAAGGAAGGAAGGAAGGAAGGAAGGAAGGAAGGAAGGAAGGAAGGAAGGAAGGAAGGAAGGAAGAAGGAAGGAAGGAAGGAAGGAAGGAAAAGGAAGGAAGGAAGGAAGGAAGGAAGGGAGGAAGGAAGGAAGGAAGGAAGGAAGGAAGGAAGGAAGGAAGGAAGGAAGGAGAAGGAAGGAAAGGAAGGAGGAAGGAAGGAAGGAGAGAGAGAGAGAGAGAGAGAGAGAGAAAGAAGAAAGAAGAAAGAAAGAAAGAAAGAAAGAAAGAAAAAGAATATGAAAGAAAGAAAGAAAGAAAGAAAGAAAGAATATGAAAGAAAGAAAGAAAGAAAGAAAGAAGGAAGGAAGGAAGGAAGGAAGGAAGGAAGGAAGGAAGGAAAGAAAGAAAGAAAGAAAAAAAGAAAGAAAGAAAGAAAGAAAGAAAGAAAGAAAGAAAGAAAGAAGAAGGAAGAAGGAAGGAAGGAAGGAAGGAAGGAAGGAAGGAAGGAAGGAAGGAAGGAAGGAAGGAGGAAGGAAAGAAAGAAGAAAGAAAAGAAGAAAAAGAAAGAGAGAGAAGGAAGGCAGAGAGAAAGGAAAGAAGAAAGAGGGAGGGAAGAAGGAAGAAGAAAGGAAGGAAGGAAGCTTGAATAGTGGCATAGGGGATTAGCTGGAAACAAGGCTAGTGGTCTGGGGGTACTGCTACTTCTAGGGCTCTTGAGTTTATCTGCCCTCCAGTGGGAGTTGGTTAGTAGTTGGTGTTGATAATGATGGAATGGAAGAAATCTTCTCCACAAGGCTGATACGATAGCTAGATGTTATCTGGCAGGGCTCATAAGATAAATAAGACTCCCTTATAAAGACTCCTTTCTTTGCAGAGGTGAAGGTCTGTGCATGTGAAATGTTGCATGTACTCTCAAACACAATAGATGTGTTCACTGGTTTTGCTGAGCTATTTTATTTTTTCCTTTTTAAATCTTTGTAACAACAGATGTTTCACTGGGAAGGGGAAAGAAGAAGGCTATATTTGGAGATGAATGTGATGGAATAAAAAAAGATATCAATAAGATAAAAAAGAAAGAATAAAAAATCTAATTCAGTGATACATGCCTAAGAGAGAATAGGCCAAGTGCAATGGAACATGAAGGAGACAGTGTTACTGACCAAGAAGATCAGGGAAAACTTCCTGCAAGAGGTGACATTTGCTTTAGTTTTTAACAAATGGTAAGGAATTTAACAGGCCCCTGTAATCATTGTGCAAGTGAGGGATTCTTGTGAAGTTATTTCCTGGCACCTTCCTCCGCAAATCGGCAATCAGTAGTAGCTACCCAGAAAATAGGTACCCACATACCCAGAAAAGAAAGGACTCACCCCAAAGTCCTTGGCACTGTCCAGTGGTTTAATGTCAGAAACAGATATGGTTTTATCAACAGAAAGGAAACTGGAGAAGATGTGGGACCATCTGCTTTGCTCTTGCACCCTAAGGACCATACAACTTGAAACTGAAAAGTCCAGTATGTAAGCTCTTGAACTCAGGGACTGTTTTGTTTTTCTATTTGTATCTCCAAGCCTTTAATACAATGCCTGGCACATAGTAAGAGCTTAATAAATGTTCTCTTTCCTTCCTTCCTTCCTTCCTTCCTTCCTTCCTTCCTTCCTCTCTCCCTTCCTTTCTCCCTTCTTCCCTTTCTTTTTTCCTTTCCTTCCCTTCTGTTTATATTTCTTCTCTTCCTTTCTCCCTTCCTTTTCTCTTTCTCCTTTTCTTTCTCTTCCTTCCCTCCTCTCTTTATTTCTCTTCCTCTTTCCTTCCCACCCTTCCTCCCTCCCTTCTTTCCTTCCCTCCCCTCATTCTCTCTTCCTCCCTCCCTCCTTTACTTTCTCCCTTTCCCTTCCTTTCCTTTCTTTTCCCTTCCTGCCTTCCTCCTTCCCTCCTTTACTTCCTCCCCTTCCTTTCCTTCCTTCCTCCTTTCCTTCCTTCCTTCTTTTCTTCCTTCCTCTTCCTCAATGCCTATCACAATGCCTATCACAAAAGATACTTAATAAATATTTGTTGAAAATGAAGAATCCTTTTCAAAAGCTTCTGGCAAAAGGCTAGGTCTGGTGAGATAAATCCTACCCCTCCTACATACCCCAGAGCTGAAAGTGGGATCAGTCAGTCTAGGGGTAGGTCTCCCTCTTGTCTAGATGAGAAATACCGGCTTCTTCTAGGAAAGGGAGGGTGGCACAGGAGAAGTCTGAGGCAGAACTGGTGGAGAAGCTAGTGGCCTTGTGTCTGGCCTATCCAGACTGCTAGACCAAGCTGCAAAGGCCTCTTTTCTCCCTCCCTCCCAATCCCCCTTCCTCTGAAGCTTCGGCAACAAGCATGTGGCACATCTCAAAGGCATGATACTTACCAAGGATATTTCCTGGGACAAAAACCATGATGCTCATGACAAGTGATCCCAACCAGTACAGCCCAAGGCTTCTATATCTCTTCCTGAGGGAAATGGAGAGAAACTGGCAACTTTCTTGATCCTTCAGATGGGTGCATGGGTGAAGGGGCTGCAGATTCCCTACCCAGAAAGGGGGGTTGTGGAAAAGCAAGCTAGGAAACCAAATCAAAGAAGGATTTCAGGGTGGGAGGACAGTAAGAGAAGGGGGCCAGTGGGAATTCTGACTCCCTTGGCCAGTCCTGAGGACATCTAGTCTACTCTGAATCAGTGCTGGAATCTTCTCTAAGCATTCCTGGCAAATGATCATCAAACCTTCACTGGGAAGTCTCCACTGGGGCCAGTATGGGGGGGAGGGGAGGGCATTCTAATTGTTAATATATTTTTCCATATAGAGAGTCAAAATCTGCCTCTCAGCAACTGTCCCCCAGTGCTTCTAGTTCTGTACTCTGGGGTCAGACGGAATCTGTCTGATCCCCTTTCCTCCACATGACAGCTTTTCAAATACTCGCAGACCATTATATGCCTCCTGAGTCTTCCCTTCTCCAGGCTCAACATCCCCAATCCTCCAACCAATCCTGGATGAAGATTTTTTTGGCAGCCCTTCAAATACTTGGAGATAGCTTCTTAATTGGTCTCCCTGCTTCTAGGCTCTCCCCTATCTAATCTATCCTCCATCTCACTGCCAAATTGATATTCCTAAAATACACCTCTGACTATGTAACCCATTATCTTCAGAGAAAGCCCACCATCCTTTTGGATCACTCTAATGAGTAAAACTTTTTTTTTTCTTACAAAAATCTTCAGTGGCACCCTACTAGCTCTATGGTAATGTCTGGCATTTAAAGCCCTTCCTCCTTTCCTTCCTTTTCTTTATTTCTTCCTTCCTTCATCTTTCCCTCCTTTCCTTCCTTCCTCTCTTTCCTCCTTCTCCTTCCTTCCTTCACATCTCTTCCTCCCTTCTTTCTTTCCTTCCTCCTTCCCTCCCTTTTTTCCTCTCTCCTTATCTCTCTCTCTCTCTCTCTCTCTCTCTCTCTCTCTCTCTCTCTCTCTCTCTCTCTCTTCCTTCCTTCCTTCCTCCTTCTCCCAATGCCTATCACATGGTCCTCTAATAACAGGTACTTGATAAATGTTTTTTGAAAGTGAAAAGTCCTTCCCGAAAGCTGCTGGCAACAGTCTGGCTCCCAACTATGTCTCCAGTCTTATTTTGTATTACCTCACTTCTCAGACTCTCCTTCCTGTCAAACTGGTCTCCCAATTGTTCCTTGTACTTGGTACTCTCTCACTTCCATGCACCATGTTGGGAATGCACCCCTTCCTCATGGTCACCTCTTAGAATCCTTTGCTTCATTTAAAGCACAATTCAGGTGCCGTGTCCTACATGGGGCCTTCCCTGATTTTCCTCCTCTCTCATCCCAATTATTAAGGTTATCTCCCTCTATAAGTTATTTCCTATTCCTTTGATGTGCTTACCTATCTAAATATCATAATCCCTGGTAGATTGAACATATTCATAGGGAGATGTCATATCCCCTTCTTCTCTTTGAGGTCAAGCACTGATTCATTTTTGTCCACATAGTAGGTACTTTATAATTATTTCTTGAATTAAATTGAATGTATCATGTGCTTCCTTTCTCCAATTGGAAGGAACATCCTTCACCCAATCCTCATGACACTTTGAGACTAATTAATAATGTCCAGGTCTAAGAAGCACTGGTCAGAGCACATCAGTAGTACTGTATTTGAGTCCAGTGCAGTGCTTTAGGAAGGATGATGATAACTTAAAGAATGTCCAGAGAGCAGGTAGGATGAAGAAGAGTTTTGAGATCATACCACAGGTGAAAAGAACTCCCCAGAAATGCAGCAGAGTAAAATGGAAAAACACCTGCTACTCATCTGACCCTGGGCAAGTCATTTGTTATTTTTATGTTAATTTTCCTCATCTGTAAAATGAGAGATGTTCTTCCCAGTTCTAAATCTATGATCTTAGGAACTTTTTGTCATTTAGTTGTTTTCAGTCATGTCCAACCATTGGTAACCCCTTGAGGTTTTCTCAGTAAAGTTACTGGAGTGGTTTGCCATTTCCTTCTCAGGCTCATTTTACAAGTGACTTGCCCAGGAAACTGGATTTGAATTCATAAAGATGAGTCTTCCTGACTTCCAGGCTCAGCACGGTGCCACCTAGGCTGCCCTCTTGTGAACTAGTGATATTTAAACTGGAGAATACAAGACTTAAGCTCTCTTCAAGTGTCTGTATTGAGGTTATACTTGTTCTGCTTGGGCAGAAGCTTAGAAAAGACAGGCTTATGCTTGATGTAAGAAAAAAAAATGTTTTACTCATTAGAGTGATCCAAAAGAATGGTGGACTTTCTCTGAAGATAATGGGTTCTTTGCTGGAGGTCTTTCAGCAAAGGCTGGATGAAGGCAGGAAAGAGACTAGGTTCTTTGCCTCTATGCCTTCATGTCCTTCCCAGTTCTTAATCTACGTTCTAAGTTCTAAGATCCCTTCCTAGCTCATTTTATTTTCTAGAGTTACTTTCAGCTCTGAAATTCTGGGTTATATGACCCCTACACCCCCTTGGGTCTTGGGAATTTCTTGGTTTCACCAATTTAGTCCAAAATCCAGAAGACATCGAGCAGTACCCTGAGACTCCTAGGATTGCACGCTAAGAGTTAACTTCGTTATCTTCTCTAGGAGCTGCTCCCTGAGTCCCAGCCCCTGCTGCCTTCCCTGCCTCCTCCTTCCCCAACAAGGAGTCTCTTCTCATCTTCCTGCCCCTTGACTCTTCCAGAGAGCTCCTTACCTCTTAGCAATGGCCCCAGTCATGATGAGGTAGAGCAGATAATTGACAGTGCCATCCCAATAGCAGCTAAAAATCCCATGGGCAGTACGAAGATATGGCTCCCTCTGGAGTAACAAAGGAACAGAAGGGAGGTGTAGGGCTAGGCTGGAGACTGCTCATGAGTCCTTCCAGCAGAAACAAGGAAGGGTAGGACTTACTTCTCGAGTATAGAATTCCATGAGGCCCATCACATAGTCATCCTCCTCAAGGGCAATGAATAAGTCAATAAGGGAGGTGAAGGAAAACACGGTAAACACTGTAGGGAAAGCACAGACAGGTCAGACTCCCCCTCCCCCCCCAAGTCCCTGGCCCAGCCAAGGTAAAAATATTACACAGTCCCTACTCTCAAAGAATTAAAAATCTTAATGGGGGGAGGGGAATATAATTCCAACCACTTCCCTTGGGTAGCAAGGGACCCAAATATAACCAACACTATAGAATGTTAGAGTTACATGGACCCTTAGACCATAGAACAAAGACCACCAATGTTGGATGAAGGGGATCTTAGAAAATGGAGGGGAGGGATATCCCTAGATATGGGCAACTTCCCAAGCCCCTTAGAACACAGAATGTCAGAGGCAGGAGGGCCCTTAGAACACAGAATAACATCAAAGCTGGGAAGGCCTTATAACAGTGTCAGATTGAGGATCCTCCAGAGAGCACAGAATATCAGAGCTAAAAGGTTCTGTAGAACACAGAATACTGAATTTGGATGGATCCTTAGAACATATAAAAGGTCAGAGTCAGAAAAACTTTAGGTACAGAACATGGAATGTCAGAGAATATCAGACTTGGGAGGACTATAGATACAGACATAGAATGTAAGAGAGAAGATTCCTTAGAAGATAGAATATCAGAGCTGGGGGTGGGAAGGACCTTGGACAATAGAATGACAGAGCAAGAAGATTCTTCAGAACACAGAATGTCAGACTTGAGAACCTAAAATATAGAACAACAATGGTGAAAGGGACCTTAGGACTCCTTCATTTGGGAGTAGGCAAGACACATGTTTCCTTGATATCAGTCTAATGTTAGGGCACTAGGCCAAAGGTCATGGTAACAGATGCTTCTTCCCCACTGTAAACTCCATTCACCCTCCCATAACCTTCCATCTCCCTCACCCCCCAGGACTCACCAGCAAAAAGTGGATCATGGGAGATCTCTCCCTGGGCCAGATTGGAGATGGCCACAAACAGTAGAGCCAGGATCATTGCACTCAGGATAGCCATCCCCAAGGGACTGGGAAGTAAACGAGGAGTCAGGATGGTGCCCAGATTGCAGATAGGGTCTGACACACTTGGAACTATCAGTCAGGACCTTTCGTCTGAACCCCAAGGTCTCCACTTTCTCACTACCCACTCACTTCCTTCAGTCTGACTTCAACCCTCATCATTTTATTGAAACTTTTCTCTGTAGTCACCAATGACCTGATTTCCAAATCTGGTCGCATCTTCATAGTTCTCATTCTGAAAGAGCAAAATAGATATACCCAAGGTGATATGGGTAGTAAGCTGTAAATTTCTGCATTTTTTGATGCTGGTAGATACTTCCCCACCTGGATACTCTACCTTCCCTTGACATCTATTATACTCTTGGTTCTCCTACTTGTCTTCTTAACACTGCTTCTTAAATTCCCTTTTCTCCTTCTGGTCCATCAACAAGTATTTATCACCATGTGTCAGGCACTGTGCTAAGTGCTGGGGATACAAAGAAAGGCCAAAGACAGTCTCTGCCCTCAAGGAGCTCACTGTCTAAAGGGGAAGATAATATGCAAACTATATAAGTACAAGATATAGATAGTATAAATGGGAGATAATCTCAGAGGGAAAGCCCTAGATGTAGAGGGGAGGAATGTTCCCAAGACCCTCAGCCTGTTTCTCTCTCTAAAGCCTCTCATCCACTAACTTTGATACACTCATCTCTTCTTAGTAATGCAAGGATCCAAGACAACTCCAAAGGACTCATGATGGAAAATGCTGTCCACATCCAAAAAAGAACTATGGAGTCTGAATGCAGATCAAAACATATTATTTGCTCTCTCTTTTTTTCTTTTTTTGGCTTGTTTCTTCTTTCTCATGGTTTCTCTCATTGGTTCTAATTCTTCTTTACAACTTGACTAAGGTAAAAATAAGTTCAATATGGATGTATATGTAGAACCTATATCAAACTGCATGCTGTCTTGGGGGGAGGAGGGGACAGATGGGGAGAAAATTTGGAACTCAAAATTTTATGGAAGTGAATGTTGAAAAATAAAAATTTTTAAAAGTGCATATAAAGTCTTTCATCCATTACCAACTCTCCATCTCCAACTTCTCCACTGACTGAGCTCTAGTCCCAGATGTCTTTCTGATTTCCAGCTAGACATCTCCATCTGTGAGTTCTGCTGGGGCCTCAAGTTCAACATGTTCCAAACTGAACTCAGCCTTTTACTGTCAAATCCATCATCATTCCCAATCTCTCTATTTCTGCTCCTTGCAGAGGCAACTAGTTGGAATGCTAGGCCTAGGGTCAGGAAGACCTGGATTCAAATCCAGCCTCAGAAACTTACTAGCTTTGTGACTGAGCAAGACCTTTGCCTCAGTCTCCTCAACTATAAAATGAGGATAATAATAGCACCTACCTCCCAGGGTTGTTGCGAGGATAAAATGAGATAATGTTTGTAAAGAGCTTAGCACAGTGCATGGTACATAGTAGATGTTATATAAATGCTTACTCCTCTGAAAGAACTTTGCAAACTTTTTTTTTAGATATATATTTTTTTAATTTTATTTTTAGTTTTCAACATTTACTTCCACAAGATTTTGAGTTCCAAATTTTCACCCCATCTAGCCCCTCCCCTGCCCCAAGATGGTATGCATTCTGAATATTTCTTCCCCTAGTCTGCCCTCCCTTCTATCTCTGCCCCCCTTCTCTTATCGTCTTCCCCTTCTACTTTCCTGTAGGGCAGGACAGATTTCTGTACCCCATTTCTTGTATTTCTTATTTCCCAGTTGCATGTGAAAACATTTTTTTTAAACATGTGTTTTTAAAACTTTGGGTTCCAAATTTTCTCCCTTCCTCCCTCCCCACCCACTCTCATTGAAAAGGGAAGCAACTCAATATAGGTTATACATGTGCAGTTACACAAAATACTTCCATAGTATTCATGTTGTGAAAAACTAACTCTATTTCTCTTAATCCTATCCCTCTCCCTGAAATTTATTCTATTCTTTCTTTTGACCCTGTCCCTCCTCAGAAGTATTTGCTTCTGATTACCCCTTTCCCAATCTGCCCTCCTCTCTATCATCCCCTGCTCTCTTTCCCCTTCTCCCCCATTTTCCTGTAGGGTAAGACAGATTTCCATACCCAATTGACTGTGTATGTTATTCCCTCCTTAAGCCAAATCCTATGAGAATAAGATTCACTCATTCCCTCTCACCTTCCCTGTTTCCCCTCCACTGTAAGAGCCTTTTCTTTTCTGTTTTGTTTTTTTGTGAGATAATTTACCCCATTCTACCTCTCCCTTTCTCTTCTCCAGTATAATCCTCTCTCATCCCTTAATTTTATTCTCCAGATATGACCCCTTCATCTTCAACTCACCCTGTGCCCTCTATCTATCTATCTATCTATCTATCTATCTACATATATATAATTTTTCCCTCCAACTACCCTAATACTGACAAAGGTCTCATGAGTTATAAATATCATCTTTCCATGCAGGAATGTAAACAGTTCAACCTTAATAAGTCTCTTATGATTTCTCTTTCCTGTTTACCTCTTCATGTTCCACTTGAGTCTTGTATTTGAAAGTCAAATTTTCTATTCAGCTCTGGTCTTTTCATCAAGAATGCTTGAAAGTCCTCTATTTCACTGAATGACCATTTTTTCCCCTGAAGGATTATACTCAGTTTTGCTGGGTAGGTGATTCTTGGTTGTAATCCTATCTCCTTTGCCCTCCTGAATATTATATTCCATGCCCTGCGTCCTTAATGTAGAAGCTGCTAAATCTTGTGTTATCCTGATTGTGTTTCCACAATACTTGAATTGTTTCTTTCTGGCTGCTTGTAATATTTTCTCCTTGACCTGGGAACTCTGGAATTTGGCTACAATATTCCTAGGAGTTTTCCTTTGGGGATCTCTTTCAGGAGGAGATCGTGGATTCTTTCAATTTCTATTTTGCCCTCTGGTTCTAAATATCAGGGCAGTTTTCCTTGATAATTTCTTGAAAGATGATGTCTAGGCTCTTTTTTTTGATCATGGCTTTCAGATAGTCCAATAATTTTTAAATTCTCTCTGGATCTATTTTCCAGGTCAGTTGTTTTTTCCAATGAGATATTTCACATTGTTTTCTAATTTTTCATTCTTTTGGATTTGTTTTACAGTGTCTTGATTTCTCATAAAGTCACTAGCTTCCAATTGCTCTATTCTAATTTTTAAGGAAGTATTTTCTTCAGTAAGCTTTTGGACTTCCTTTTCCATTTGGCCAGTTTTGCTTTTTAGGGCATTCTTCTTCCTCATTGGCTTTTTGGACCTCTTTTGCCATTTGGGTTAGGCTATTTTTTAAGGTGTTATTTTCTTCAGTATTTTTGGGTCTCCTTTAGCAAGCTGTTGACTTGTTTTCCATGATTTTCTTGCATCATTCTCATTTCTCTTCCCAGTTTTTCCTCTACTTCTCTTACCTGCTTCTCAAAATCCTTCTTGAGCTGTTCCAAGATCTGGGACTGACTCATATTTTTCTTGCAGGCTTTGGATGTAGGAGCTTTGACTTTGTTGTCTTCTGGTTGTATGTTTTGATCTTCTTTGTTACCAAAAAAGATTCTATGGTCTGATACTTCTTGTGAGGTTTGCTCATGATCCCAGCCAATTACGTGATTTATAAACTCTTTATTAAGGTAGAGGTCTGCTTCCAATGTGGAGAATGTACTGCCCCAAGCTTCAGGGGTTTGTACAGCTGTTTTCAGAGATACTTGTAGGGACCTGAAAATTTTCAGTTCTTCCAAGGTGGTATGATAAGGGTCGAGGTGTTTACTCCTTTCCTGGCCTGTGCTCTGGTCTATGAGTGACCACAAGCCTTCTTTTCTGTCTTGGAACTGTGAGGAGGATTTTCTCTGCACCACCACTACAAGCTCCACCATGCCAGCGCTCCTTCTTGCCCCAGCACCACCCTTCAGAACTGTTACCCCAATCCAAGTACGGGCAAAGCAAGAGAATCCTGCACCAGCAGAGAGATCCCTGCAATCCCCCTCTGATCAGCCACTCAATTCCCCCTCAGTCTGTGGGCCGGAATGTCAGGAAGCAGCCGCTGCCCTGGGCCACACTCGGGATCTGGGGGACTGAAACCTAGCTTCTCTCTCACCGCAGAAACAGACTTTTCCCACTGACCTTCTAAGTTGTCTTTGGCATTTGTGGGTTGAGAAGTCTGGAAACTGCCACAGCTGCCTGAGATTCAGTCCTCTGAGGCCTGCTCCAGGTTCACTGCAGCCTGTGTGCCCACGCCAAACTGCGCCCCTCCCCCAGCCCAGTGCGATATACCTTTCTGATCAACCATCCAGGCTGTCTTGGGCTGGAAATTTGTTTCACTCTGTCTTTTTGTGGGTTCTGCTGCTTTAGAATTTGTTTAGAGCCATTTTTTATGGGTATTTGGAGGAGTTCAGGGGAGAGCTCAAGTAAGTCACTGCTCTCACTCCGCCATCTTGGCTCCGCCTCCACTTTGCAAACTTTAAAGAGCTATATAAATGCTTGGTAACATTATTCTTTTTGACTCTTCCCTATCCATCACCCCTTCCCCCATCTAATCAGTCACCAAGTCTTGTCCTGACCAGTCTTCCTTAAAAATATGTCACTTCACATTTTTCTCTTCTCTTTTCTGAATTTATCTGGATCTGATGCCGATCGTCAATCAACCAACATTTATTAAGCACCTACTATATGTCAGTGGATAGAGTACCAGGCCTGAAGTTAGAAAGACTCATCTCCCTAAGTTCAAAACTAGCCTCAGACATTCAGTAGCTGTGTGACCCTGGGCAATTCACTTAACCCTGTTTGTCTCAGTTTCCTCATCTGTCAAAGGAGCTGGAGAAGGAGATGGCAAACCACTCCAGTATCTTTGCCAAGAAAACCCCAAATGGGGTTCTACTTCTTCTTTACAACTTGACTAATGTGAAAATAGGTTCAATATGAATGTATTTCCATAGGTTCAATGATCTTACCCATGAATATGACTCTGAGATCTTTTAATACAGATGTAGTCCCTCCATTGA